CACCAACAGGATCAGCATGGTGATTGCGGGGAATTTGAAAATAAAGTATTAAAAAGGTATATACGTGACAACACAGAATAGACAAACTAGCAAAATAAAAAACTGAAACACCGGTGAATGGAAATTTAGGAAAACATCCTCCATGTTGAACTTCCAAGCTGGAGCTTTAACATATGGGGCCCGTGTGATAAAACGGACATGCTTGTCTTCCTGTGGTTCTTGATCATTTTACGCTGACTGATGGAGTGACTGAAGTCAGAAGCAGCAGAATGATATCTGAAGCATGTCAGAATTAGGTTGAAGCAGCAAATCTTACTGGTGCCCACCACTGACAAACAGTGAAACACATGATGGAATAAAAGAGCCGTTTTGGATGGAATTACCCTGACCGCTCTCAGAACAAAACTCTCTAAAGGTTTCGTGTTTTGTACCCAGACAAAAGAAGTTGCATTTTTTTCCAGGAAATAATTCAGAAAAGCAGCCTTCTCTTTTTTAAATGTTCTCATCAAACAATAGATATGTTTTTTGTGCCGAACTATAGTGAACCATGAATAAAGGGGTCAAAATTGAACTGTGAGAAGTCTCAAGACAATTCTAAGTGGACTCAGATTCAAAATGGGTGTGTAGGGTAACACCACCTCTCACCTTCTGTGCTCTGGACGCCCAAGGGTCTTAAGTATTGTGGAAAAAAAGTATTTTTTTTATCATTGGATGGAAATAGTACATGAATGATAAACGTTGAGTGGTTTTTGTGTTTTTACAAGAAAAAGCTTCTTAAAATGCTGATTTGAAATAAACACGTTTTGCTGCGCATTCACAACTTGACTCAGTGGAATAAGAGTAAAACTACATATCGATAACAATATACTTTTATAGTCCTTTTACGAAAAGGCAAAAAAAAGGACCAAAATAGAAACAAGAAGTGCCAGGGATTTTCTGGAAGCCTGCACAAAAATGATACCAAAAAATCTGTGATGTTATGATGAAAATGTAGATAAGGAAGAAGTCCTTTCCGATTCTAAGAAACCACCGAGTCAACAGAAAATGTGAGATAGGGGAATGTCATTGTCATGTTGACGTCAGGACTGACAGTTTTCAATTCCAGTTCAACTCTGACACAACAAAGGTCAAGAAGGATGGCAAGGGAAAGACTAAGGAACTAAGGAAACAACTCAATAGGCAGCACCGATGGGGTCACTGATTAAATGTTTTTTTGAGAATTAGAGATACAGCTCTGAAAAATAATCAGATAAATCACATGAATTGAAAAATATTAGGTGAAAATGACCAAGGAATTTCTGTGAGGAACTGTTCCAGATCATAATGAAACCACCAGGCTGCCCTGCATTTTCAACGATATATTTACTTTCTTCATGACTGTTGACACATGTATTACGTCCTCAACCATGATGGACCACTCTCAAAAACCTCACAGTAACTTATTTATTTGATCTTTTTCTAATATTTCATAAGAAGAACTACATCCCAAAAACTTGTAAAAACGGTGTTTGCTTTCATTTATACCCAAGAATTCACAACTTGGATCAGAGCGAACATATTAGGTGAATGAAAACCTCAATGAATATGGGCTGAATCACAGTTTAAAACAAAGGGAGGCTCATCTTGGATCACACCCATGGACAGACATACACATAAACACACAGTTCTCACGCACACGTAAACACAGACACGCACAAGCAGTCAGAGAAGAGGACGGTTTGAATGGACAATCCTGTCGTGCATAGGATGTATTTATGGATTGACACGGTGTGCCAGCGCGGAAATTCTTCTCATTCTAGGAAACATCTGGCAGAGCTTTATCTGTTGTATCTTTATTATCATCTAAAAATGTCAGCAAATAGTCACATAACAGTCTGCATTGGATGGCATTTATGGGTGGCATCCAAGAGTCCAAGACTGAAGACACTGGAAAAATCTGATTGTTCATACCAAAATAATTTATGTCCTATCTTCAAGTATCACCAAGTTTAACATACTGTATGTGATACATATGGTTTCTAAAATATTTTGCATCTGAGACCTTATGACTCAACGCACAGTAATAAATGCTGAATATCCAAAATGTATTTATTTTTTTCTCTCCATTTTTTGTCAAAAAGCCAAATAAAGACTTCAAACAACAAAAACTAAAATTTCTCTGCATTTTTTTTTCTTGGATCAGGTTTTAAAGGGTTAAAAAAAAGGCTGATTGTTATTAATGCTTTTTTCACTGGCGATGTCACCAGAGTGTATCAGATGCACTCTGGTGACATTGCCTATTGCATGACAAGTGGTGAAGGAAAGGAGATAATCTCTTGCCTTTCTCTCACTGACATGGTTCTTAAATTGTTTCATGTTGTTTTTCCTGATTCCAGTTGTCCTGGCAACGATTGTACTGTGAGCACTGACCGCACGGCAGTGGGTGGAGTTGTTAGGTGAGAAGCCTGTCAAGAAACACGCACACACACACCCACACACGCACCTACACACACACCCACACGTACACACTAATTCGCACACACTGTTAGGTGCTAGGACACATACTGTACTTAGATTAAGCTGATCCACGCAAGCATATTACACAGTCGCACATTCATCCTGATAGCAGCCAAATGTGTTTTTGACACAAATTGCAACTCACTGGAATGCAGCAGAATTTTTCATCAGGATCAAAGCTTTTAAAGCACAGCCCAACCCATAAAAGGGCAGACAGAGTGAACCTGATCAAACGCCGAGTGTTTTTTACTCTCCCAAACACACTGTGGTTTCAGCATCTTTTTGGTGGTTGGTTCAAGCCCAAACAGGCCCTCATACTGACAGCTCGGGGCCAACAATTACCCCCCCAGCTGTTTATACTCAAGCATCTGACCTCTGACCTCTGGCGGGCACACCTCTCGTAAGGACACCCAGTAACGCTATGGTATAGCAGTCACTGTGGGAGATGATGAACAAAAGCACAAACACACAAACAGCAGTATACAGTATTTTTTAGATTCTTGGCATGTAAATATAGAAACTTGTCTTGATAAGCTGAGTGAAAATGTTGCAAATAAAGATATTTACAAATGGACGTTAATAAAAGTTTAACTTTTCTAAAGGATTATCAGCACATTAGCCCCCTCTACCAGTGACAGTTAGAAACTGAAATAGTTCAGCGGTGTGGAAAAAGGGCTCTAAACCTGTGTAATCCCTGCTCAGTGAGATGCTGGAGTATAGTATTGAGGGATAAAAGAGTATTACTAACTCACATAACTCTCCCACTTTGGGATCAAACATAGGATCAGTAGTCTGTGAAGATCTTTCTGCTCCTTACATCTCAACAGATATCCTACTGGTTCCATTGATTTGGGGAGAGAAAGACTCATGTTTTTTTCATATACGTATCTCCACTCATCTACCAACAAAGGCCTTGCAGTCCCAACAATATCATGGAATATTATGGGAGCAGTATTCATTTCAAGGAGTTGACTAGAGATCAGGTGGGTTTAGTATTTGACGGTAAAACTGGGCTACTTTTGGCCCTTAAAGTTAAGAAGCTATTATTATAGCCAGAAATGGCACAAATGTTAGAAGATGTTACCTATATGATATAACTAATGGACACGGTCGCTGAGTTTAGGCAGCCTATTATTTGCAGAAGATACACTACAGAACCCTCCTTAATGTAAACTGCTGCTTGGAAGTGTAACAGGTGTAGTAGTGGAAAAAGGAAAGAACAGGAAACTTCATATCCAAAAGAAGTTGGATCCTGGTGATCTGTGGACAGACAACGGCTGATGATTTTTTTATGATGTTACGTTTTTCAAGCTTCTTGTATCCATCTTCCAAACAAAAGATGGGTTAAGATACATGTGAACTGTAATAGTGCTGATCCTAATTGGAGCTAATCCACTCAACACATCCAAAGCCATTTAGTGTACTGAATTGAGAATATGAGCAACCAAATATTAAATAAGAATAACATGCGTGTTCCATGCGTGATCATTTTATCCACTTTTGCAAATTTCTTACCTATTTGCATTTCAACCTGTTAAATAAACCTGCAAAAAGATGGGGAAAAATCTAATCCAATCTAATTATAAACCATTTTTATTGAGGAGCTTGCCTATCTTAGCAGCTGCATCTTCACAGGATAAATGTAAAAAAAAAGAAAAGAAAAACAAATCCCACAAAGCTTTCCAGCAGCTCTCCTCTGATCTTTACAAAGTTTGGACCAAATAAAAGTCAGAGAAAGTGTGCCACAGTGATCTTCATCAATCACGTCATGTTGGGAATTATTCTTGCATTCAATTTCTATTAAAAAATATAGGTTATAAAAGACTTTATGTATTAAATACCACAATATTACATCCTTTCTAAGTAGCAGACGGCAGCAGATTCTAATAGTTTTAAGTTCTTTTTTCTATTCAAACTGAAGTTGCATCGTTAGATTTGACGGATTTGACGGCTCAGGCTTTAGCGCTGGACAATGTTGGACACTGCTGGACGCTGACAGGTGCAGTTGAGACAAACGGAGCAGGTCCTGGATCTTTTTTTAACCTGCACCCTGCAGGCAAAACATGACTGGCACAGCAGAGCTGCCATGGACGGACTCAGGAACAGGAAGAGATGGAGACGATACAGTTCACCGTTTGAAGTGGTTCGGCTCAGAGGCACAGCTCAGAGGCTCAGACACAAAGGCTCACGCTGCATCTTTCTGACTCTATGTCCCGCACGCACATCCCTCACTCACATCCACAGCACATGAAAGGCAGCTACACAATGCTCGCAGCAGTAAGGACACGTTCTGAATTTCTCATTTCTCTCAGTTGCTCTGTCTGCAGCGCTGTAAAGAGATCCAGAGGGGCTTGTTGGCCTGTGCATCCCAGCTGTGGTGTGAGGGACTATGAACATGCTGACCCTTTGGTCTCCTGCACGTGTTTGCCAGCAAAATAAAGAGTCCGCTTTTGGCATATGTTCAGCCAGGTGAGTGACTGGTTCTCTGAGCTGCTTGTCAAAGGTCAGGTGTTGAGTGGGAGCTCTCCTTGTCCAGAGCTCCACTCACCAAAATCCACTTCCCCGCTGGAGTGAGGAGGATTGTCCAGGGAGATGCCCCGCCGCTCTCCGAACACCTTCTCCTGCAGCTCAATGATGTCGTTCCGGATGTCTGCCATCATTAGCAGAAGGAAGTCAAAGGAGCCAGGGGGTCCCTGGAGACAAATGACACACTGAGGATGTGGCCTATGTGTTTGGGTTCACTGACTGTCTGTGGACACAGCAAGTATTTAACTACGTCCAAAAAAAACAAGCATCAGAGAAAATGTACAATAAGCTAAGGATTTCTAAATCTTTGAAAAAAAAATTCAAATGGGAATCAATGTGTGTGTGATCCACTAAACTCACTTACAGGTGGACCTCTGGGACCAGGAGCTCCTCTGTCTCCCTGCAAATGACAAAAAGCCCAAATTTAACCAATTTCTGTCTGTCACCACTCACAGTCTGCGCATATCATTATAAGGAAATACGCTTTGATTGGCACTGAACAGTTTTACTTTACAGATTTGTTGTGGTGACAGTGCATCATGTGTGTTTGATTCATTCTGAGCTGCACACGTTGCTCAGATGGTGCTAAAACAATTCAGACAGAAAAAAAGGCGATCTAAAACACATTGGGAAAAGACATATATGCCATAACAACCTTTAATCCGTCTCTTCCTGGCGCCCCGGGTGGTCCCTGTAGGTATGATTGAGACATGATCATTAGCTGTTTGAGCTTTTCGACATTTTTCTTTCTTACATTGCAGATGTTATGCAGTGAACTTTGTCCTCATGCACAAGTTTTTCTGGGTGCAAGTCAGGGCTTTTTAATGCCTCTCCAGGAAAAGCAAATGTGTCCTTACAACCAAAACGACGGTCCAATTGGGCTGTTTTTTCCACTCAGCAGACTCCAAGCTGGAACTACATCACATGCATTTGTACTACAACAGTGTATTATATTATATTTGAAATATGAATCTTGAGAGCTTCTGCATAAGACCTTTATATTGTCAAACACAGCTTAAAGTAGTTTCATGCTTCTTGGTGTGATTTACGGAGAAGACCAAGTTCAGACTGGAATGTCTGGTTATTTATTTTTTTCCCAGACTACAATCTTAAATTCATTTTACGACACTAGTGGAGTCTGCTGCATAGACTTTTACTCCTCCTGGACAGAGTACTACTGTTAGCTCTTACATACTGAACTTCAGACCATGGGCCTCTTGTCATAATCAAGGAGTCAATGCAAGTCAATGAAGATTTTGACTTTTAGGAAGAGATTTTGACCAAAGAAATTATTCTTAAAGAAACTCTTCAGTTGATCCCTTTTAATCAATATTTAACCTAACTAGATATGGAAGCAGAAAAAACAGGTAAATTAGCTCTAAAAGTGATCATCTAACATCAACTTGTTGTTGTATGGAACACAAACCTAATTTTCCAGGATGAATGCTCCATGTTTACGCATTGATGTGTGCTTTGACTGCACTAAGTGATCAACCAGGGACTGGACTAATTTAAGGCATTCTTGGAGAACGTGCATAAAAACATTATGTGCAAAGGTTTTATGATTTGTTGATTTGCTGGACTGAAGTTGTGATCCACACCCAGCAGTTTCCTCTTTCCCCTTTGATGTTCCGGAAGTCTAAAGAAATCCGTGCGACTTGTGGAAAATCCCTAAAATTACTGTAAGTGTTTTTCTTACCACTGACCCCCTGCGGCCCCTCTTTATATGCCTCATGTCAGGTTCTGGACCCATGGGCCCCATATCTCCCCGTGGACCACGAGGGCCAGGGGGTCCCTTCTCCCCTGGCTGTCCCCTGTTTCCTGGTTCTCCTGGGTGACCTGTTGACGAAAAATGGATGATGTAACAAAACAAAGAAAAAGAAAATTACAAATGAACACATTCATTTATACATTACCTGGTACACCGGGAGCTCCTGGAGGGCCAGGTAAACCAGAAAGGCAAGGGCTATCAGGGCTTTTTCCTGCTCGTCCAAAAGATGATTTATCACTGCTGTTGGCCAGACCAGGTACCTCCAAACAAGGAAAAACACATGTATGGTTTCACTCTGCAGCAGCTGTCTCTGCTGCTTGCAATTTATTCAACGACCACTACGATAAGATTTCTTCATGAAATGCAATGATACTTCCTTACTTTAACATAATACATGAAAAATGGTCTATTGACCAAGAAATACATCTAAGTTAGGGTGCTCTGAGGCAAAGATGTTACCTGGTTGGGCGACTGTGTGTTGCCCAGCCGTAGTTTTATTTGGAGCAAGCTGTTTTTCATGTTCATGAAATCTTGACAGGTCAATGAGCAGGTCCCTGCACTCATCAAGGTGTCCGACTTCCCCGACGTGCTCACTGCGCGACAAGACATACACGTGCTATTTTTTTCCTGTTGTTTGACAAATAGTTGACTCATGTAATCTGACACATTAACGTGCTTTAACATACCACATCAACTTATCGCATCAGAGCACATGTTTATCTTTAATAATTCTATACTAATTATGTTACACATTGCCGTATTATTCCATAGCTCATAGCACTCATGCAAACAGCCATATGATTATGGATCGTCCTCATCATCAAAACCCCTTATCTAATGTCCACAGGTGTGCAGTGTGATTGAGGCATGTAATCGACTGGATTGATTTCCACAAATACCATGGATGACTGAGCAAATCAGGAGCAGGCTTGACCTCTTTGTGCGGCTCCTCAAGTCACTCCATGCAGTTTTTGGCGTGATGAGGGATAGTGTGTGGTCATGCTACAGTGTTACTGCCAATGAAAATATGCTGCATCATAAAGGAATTAATACTCGGTCAACCCATGAGTGGATTTAGTTTTGTGTCCGAGTGGTTTATAGGCAAGCATTTGTCACCAAACGATGGCAATTGCGGGGACATGATTGAAAGAACTCTTTTTAAACCATATTCTCAAAACAATGAAAAAAAGGATTTGAGTTTCATGGCTTGAAAAGCTCAACACAGTTGGCGACTTACTGCGGTGGAACACATAAACTTACAGCTGTCTATGGAGATGCAGGAGCGCTGGTCTGCTGCAAGTATGAAACCGCTGTGGCAGCGACACATGAAGCTGCCCACTGTGTTGACACATTCGTGCTCGCACACTCTGCTTCCGGAGATCTCGCACTCATCGATGTCTGTGGATTTTTGGTGCAAAAAGGAAAGCAGGTTGAGGGGCGTCAAGAAAGAGAGCATTTAGTGGCACCCAAATCAGCTAAATCTACTAAAAATTCCAACATGTCTTTAATTCATGCTAGTGGCTTTTATCTTACAAAGCAAAGTCAATGCGTGGGAGTGAAACTGACCCAGGCAGTAAGGAGATTTGTGGTTGCGATGTCTTTCCCGATCAAAGCGATAGCCTTGATAACAGGTGCAGACCACTCTTCCAAAGTTGTCCGTGCACTGCTGCTCGCAGGGTGAGGCTGCGCACACATCTACGCCTACGGAAAGAAAGACGACACATTCAGGCTGCAGCTTCATGATCATCTGCTAATCAAACTCCACAACTGGAAGTGAGTCCTAACAGGTTCTACTGTCACAATGTTAACTGAGATGTTTTTATCTGATTAAACCTTTATGGATAATGGTGCAATGTTATAGATTGGAAGGAAAATTATTTAAAATCTATCTCCACAGTCCCTTTTGCAAGTCTGTAAAATATTATGCCTCGTAAAATGTGGGGATGTAAGCAGAAGACAAATAGAGGCGTAAGATACTTCTGAGGATTCAGCATTCGGAGCAAGATTCCAAACCTCAGCGGGCAGAAACACTCAAAATTTCAAAGAGAAATGTAAGTCTTCCGTTGCTTTACCTCTCTAATGTTCTGTGAGTCAGAGATTAAACCGAAAGATGCTTAATAGTTTTTTGTAAAAAAAAACACAAAGTAAAGCTAAGGATTTAGACCAGGTTTAGTAATAGAGTCTTTCCATCCTTGATTCAATGTAAGAGGTTAGGTCACCTCATGACAATTTGTGAAAATGAGTTCTTCCTGATGTTTAGGAAAACTAGGTATTGCTGACATTGCAACCATCTACACTAATATTGTCTTAGTGAGGATAACTCCTAAATTGAAAATTGGTAGTAACTAAAATTACAACAGATAACATTTTTATCTCAAGTAAACTGGGCTGTTGGTGAGTGTAAATCACGCACATTACATTATCTGTGTCTGCGATATCAATGACAAACAGCCGGGTTATGGAATACTGTTATTGTACAGAGTGCTTATCAGAGAGTTAATATAATGTGCCCTATAAAACGGAATGCAATGAACACAGAGCTATAAAAGCTATGCAGTTATTCATTTTCCTGCTGTATAATTAGCCCTTCAGATATGGTTCTAACACTAAAAAGCTAATTGTACATTCAAGCTGTATATATACAGTTTAAAAAAGTCTGTACATTTTTGTATTCTTGCCTTTTTTTGGCTCATCATGATAATTGCTTTATTCTAAGTACCCTACCCTATCGCGTTTCACCCTTAAAAATGAAAGAACAGCGACCTCCTGTGGTCAAATCAACTCACTGTTACGGCAGTGGACATTATGCTGCACATATTTACTACACATGAACACATAGAAACAAAGTTATGAGTATGAGATGTCATTTTGCCATAAATCTGACTAAATGTGACACACCACAGCAACAATACTTGACTGTAATAAAACCCTTATCTGGCCTTAATGGCCAGTCCACATAATAACAAATGTGTTCTTCAGATTGTGCTTTGTGCTGTTTGTTGCTATTCATAGACAAAACTACATCAGTTAAGGTGAAGTGTATGGTTTACCTACTTTCGGGTATGCATTGGCCCATCACAAACCTGAATCCTTCACAACATTTCCTCCTGAATAAAAAAGAGAAATCAGAATCAGAAATCAGAGATTGCTTTATTGAATTTGACTTGTAATGGGATGTTTGTATCCATACCAACAATTTCAAATAAATAGGAATCTGTCTTAGTCTAAAATTACGCAAATTTAAAAAAAAGACTTTAGAAAAGATTAACACTGTAATATTAGTTAGATGATTACAAAGCTACAGCCTAATGCTGGTATGGCTAAACTAAAAACTAAACACTTAACACACCCTCTAAACTGTTACAGACAGCAGAATGTCATAAAACAATTGCAAATAAACACACATGAAACTAAATTAATTTGCATTCCTACTCAACAGCAACATAAAATTGCTAAAATAACGCAGCTAAATAGATCAATAAAAACCTGTATTGTGCACTAGCTGGGTGTTCCAAGGAAAACGCCCACCACATTGTAATAATCTAAACATGATAAAGCAAGAAAATAAAGTGGATCACTTCAGCTGGACAGTAAAGTCCACTGCAAATGAGAACGAGCATCATTATTTAGATATGGATAAGAAAGTTTTGCAAAGATTTATAGTGAAGGTTGTTATTCAATTTTGAAAATGGATTTTTAAATCACTCCAGAAGAATGACATCCCTGTGTCCGGGCATGAATACCGGCCTTTAAAACACATTTGAAAAGTGCACTTCTCGTCGGCTTTTGTAACAAGCAAATCCGTTAGTTTCAACATTGGTTGAGCAGATGGGTGTGGGCAGCAATGATGTCCCTCCTCTGACATCTCACCAGAAATGTAGAAAAAAAAGAAACACATCTGATTGCAAATAGCTTTGGTTTTTCAACATCTGCAGTGCAGAATGTTGTGAAGAGATTCAAGGCTTCTGGGAAAATATCAGACTAAGTAAAACTGTAGTTTTAAAAGTGGGTTTTAAAAAAATGCTGGATGTGTATGAACCATGAGGCCTAAAACAATTCTGTGAAACCACTATGAATATAGCCACACAATAGTCTGTTGTTAACATACCTACAGATTGTCGTACTGGCTGTGTGCAGGCCTCTGCTCTGTTTACCCGTTTATTATTCTGATTCGATTTATTTTTCATGATGAACCCTGAACAGAACCTGAACTCTGACCCAAAGAACTTATTCTTATGTCTTCGAATGTTTCAAGTGACCTTTAATTTGGTTTGCTCTAAACACTAGCATTTTTTTTCTCTCTTTATTTTTTTTTTTAAAGCAGCACTGTGCAATTGTCATCGGGCAACATACTTCTCCCAAAACTGATTTATGATGTTTGGAAGTGACGCCCATCCAACCATCCCCACAACAATCCAACGCATGTTGCAGGATTAAAGTCGGAAAAATAGAGAGGGAATGGCTCATAAATTTGTCTTACAACAAATACCACACATGCACATCACGCACATGCCCGGAGAAAAGTGGAATCCTGCACGAGCCCAGTTATAAAGACTGTACCCTTAGCAGAGGGGATTTAGCCCGTAGTCTCATTCAAGCACCCCCTCATGGCAGCAAGTGGCTTTTATTCTTCTCTACTCTACGTGCAGAACACCTCTAAATCACAATGAGACCCCAACATCCCCCACCCCTCTCCTTGTGAATGAAAAATAACCTATAAAACACAGAGGCCAGCCTAAACTGATGAGATCCAGATGAGAGCGGCTTTAATCTGCAGCCTGTGGCTGAGAGTGTTGAGTGGGATGGATAAGAAGAGGCATGAAGCTGAGGTGGAGAAAGGAAAGTGAATGCAGAGATTAAGATTGCCACTCATTCAGTCAGTCAGTCAATCCATCAATCAGTCAGTTGGTCAGATGGCTCTCTAAAGTCTCTTAATGTGTTGCAGATGCTAATCCGACCAGGAGGACACCTAAGCTTCACACGAGAGCACGAGAGCAGCGAGAGCGTTTATTTGGCTTCCAGATTAAAGTTGATCTGCTTCTGATGAAGTATATGACAGGTCATTTCTCCAGCGCCACACACAAAAATTCACATTTGTGTCATCGAGCCTTTGATATGTACAGATTTACATTTTGCAATAGCTGGTGGGTTCTTTGGGATAAAGGATAGAACCCGCCGCAGAGCTGAAGACAGAAAAGGGGCCAGAGTCTGAGTGCAGCTTTTTTCAAAGTCCAGGAAATACCAAAAGGAAAAGAGATCCATTTTTTTTTCTCAAACTGTATCATTTTATGGGTCAGTTTGACCCATTTCTACTTTGGAGTAGTCTTAGACTTTTCCACTCTCCCTCAATGAAACACTTTGGGGTCTTCCTCAATCAGGGTCACGCTGGCCCACTGATGTGATGTGGAATGTCAATGCATGATCGTGTCTCACACAGCGTTGTGTAATTGCATAGCTACAAAGACATGAAATTAAAAAAGAAAGCTTTTTTTCTGTGGTAGAAGTAGTTTACCCGTCGTTTTCGACTGGCCTGCCTGACATTGAACCGTTCTCGATCTGTATGCCTGTGCCCAAGGCAGAGGCAACAAATGCTTCCTATTACAACTCGCCCACAACCTGTTTTTATCAGTTTGCCCTGTGAATCATAATCTGAGTGTGTCCAGACAGAACAATCTCTTAAAAATGTGGTTTGGAGAAGGAGTTCTGACACACTCTGACCTCCCTCTCCAGAGCACCCATGAGAACACTTATTTGTTGCTATGACACAAACAGAGGATAGGTCTGAGTGTTCTTGATTATTTCTTATTTTCTGACTCAGTGAAGTTGCATTTGTAGTTTGTACTCAATGAAATCTCTTTTTCTACCTCGATTTTCTGTTACAATTCATAGTTTTTGGGGATTGAATTTATTGTTAATCTGTATCTGACAGTACTGAAGAAAACATGTATTTTGTTTTCACAAAAATAAACATGTTTTGATATCAGCTGCAGGCTTGCTTGGTTTTGTTACTGAATGCATCGTGTCAGCTACAGCGGGGGTTTTTTTCCCTTTGAGGTTGGGTTGTGCAAAGTACTTATAAATAGCCTGTAGCTATATGTAAATCCACAGAAACATAAGCCGATATTCTGCTTTTACCTGATTTGCAGGCAGGATGTTCCTTTCATTTCCCATCCACATGATAAGTAGCACAGCCCACTAAACGAATGATACACTCTCACATTACACTTATGCATTTGCAATGCCTGTTCCCACCCCACCTCCCAAGTCTTGATTTTATCCGCAACCGTCTGAACACAGAACATGAGCCCTCTAAGGTTTCTTTTTCCTTAAAAAGTGGTTACAACCGGACCAAGAAAACAGTAGATAAAGAAAACACAATAATTTGGACTTTTGGACGAGTATGTGTTGCTTCGTATTTGACGGTTTTTAGCAAAGTCACTCTTCTCTGAGCCAAGTAGTGCTTATCGTTTGAGTCTGTTGGCTCTGTCAGATTGCACGGTTTGTGCTTTTAAAAGGACTAAAAGATAGTGGGTCTTTGGGCTTTTCTGTATATTTCTGTTTTTTTTTTCCACAATTTTTTGCTGTGTCCTGCTAAGTGTTGCAGGAACTGACAGGCAGAATTGCCATCACAGCTATTTGGGGACAGGATAGATTGCTTTGCCACCATGCATGTAAACGCAGCAACATGAGTAAAAAGGACAAAGGAAATTTTCTTTTGTGGCCCTATAAAAATTATTTCCTTATGCCCTAAAGTGAAAGTGTGGAGACAGCTGTTATCTCTAAGTAGAGACACAGCCCTACTGACAATAATCATACCCAAAACTCCCTTTGCTGTTGATTTAGCTGTCTCTGGAATAAAAGATTTTACACGAACACACAACAGCCATGTGGCAATGCTCGTACAGAATCACAACAGTCTAAACACTTCTGCCCTGAGTGTTTTTCAGGACAGGGGAAGCTGGGCTAACAAGCTGAAGACGGAGGAAGGCTGGGACTGTGTTTTTGTTTTGGACTATGAAAGTATGTTGGTCAGCGAGCCAGCAGGCCTGGTCGAGGTGACACAACCTCTGAAGGAGAACTGATAAAATTCAAAGTCTCTGTGCTCCATATGTGCTTTCATCATCTGTATGTGTAAACTTTTCATGCGTAATAGTGCTTTTTGGTTGGCTTGGAAACATTTTACAGTGGTACCAAATTGTGGCTATTAGTGTAACTAAATAAAGAATGGGTTTTAAGAGCTTGTTCATGCCAGTGAAAAACCATGTCTGCATACAATAAATGTGTGCGAGTGTGTGTGAGGGCTGGGATACCATCCAATAATTGGGTACAGCCTATAATGTCAGTCAAAATGTATTAGTTGGGCAATGCGTGACGCGAGCAAGCTCCCGTTCTCCCACTCCTTGGTCTTTTTTATATATCCTCTCAATTCACTCACCTCCAACAGCCTTATAGCAAGTTGGTGATATGAAACCTGTTTAAATCTACTTTTATAATGTGTATACAATCATCTTTCTCTCTTCTCCTCTGGCTGAAATGTTATTGGCCTTGTGTTTCCCCCTGTTTGTGAAATCAATCTGATGCGTCTACCTTTTACCATCTTTTTTTGATTCACAGGAATACCATTCTGTCCTCTTAGGACTTACTCAAGCCAAAGCCACTCAAAGTATTAAAGAGCCACTTTTACACTCCGGGGTCAAACAGGACCATGTGTCGGATGGAGCCGCTTTAAAATGTGCCTTACTGGGATAGAAAAGGCCATAAATCAAATCTGAATGCGGATCACAGTTCCCTTCTACAGAAAATCACTCAATGTTTTAGTGTTCCTTTGCTATAGTCTGTACAATAAGTTTATCATAAGTAGCCCACAGAAAGTCACTGTCAGTCTTACAACCAGAATAACATATCTCATCCCGTGTCGACATTCTTGGTTGCAAAAAGTTGATTCGGGAAGGTTCTGGGTCTCTCCTGAATGACTTAAGCTTTTGTTTATATGAATGTGTAATTTCAGGGAATAGATTCCATCTGATCATTTATCTCTGTTGTGATTGGAGCTGTGTCAGATCAGTTCGCCTGCCAAATGCATGCCTGAATACTTAGCTTGCTATTACATCAAATAACATGTGTTTAAGATGTTCACCTGTTACTATGTGAAAAAAATATTGAGCATTAACTAAAACAGGCTGAAAATGTATTGATCTGTGGCATCACGCCAAAATATCCCTGATGGATAGTGACACCTAAAGGTAAATATAGCCACTCACATTGGCTATAACATTCATCTCTGCATCCATTATCATGACCGATTCTTCCTAGGGTCACGGGAAATGGAGCCTATCCCAACTGATATTGGGTAAGAGGAGGGATACACCATGGACATGTCGCCAGTCCATCACAGGGCCACAATATAACATGTTGGAAACCATTAAAAAATCTTAACCCTTGAACGGCCTGCTCAACTATTCGGTAGAGACACAGTGATGGGATATATTACAGGTATAGAAGTTGAACGGTTAATAGACCAGCTGGAGAGTCCGGTTATGGTTAACCCACTTTGGGCCACTGTAGAAACATGGAAGACTTTGCAACATAAAAGACAATCAGAAGAAGGGCCTCTATATTTGGTCTACGCTTTTCGATGGTAATGAGCAGTACACATATCACTTCCATTTGAATCCAATTAAAGTGATAACTTTTGGGTAACTTGTACTTGAGCTCTGGAAATAAAATGATTTACACACTTGAATTGAGAACAAGTATTATTTCTCTTTTGAAAGTTTGTGGATTGAGACAGTTTTGCAATTCTCCAAATACTGTTACCCCATTCTGACCCACAGGAAAGGTTTTTCTCAACAGTGTTTACTAAGGAATAAACTAAAAACAGTGATAAAAGATCAGCCAAGCATCCCTGCAACATTCAGCGGTTTTCCAATTATCAGTGTTTGTTTCCCTCTACTATTGGAATGATTGAAATGTTTCATCGGAATGGATGCAATGATGCAAGGTGTTTGTTCAATCTATTCTGCATTGAGTTTGTGTCTAAGGCTCAACATCCATACTGTTCCTCAACATTGACTTTTCTGACTTTGGAAGCCCTCGTGAAATCCACATTAGTCATCTTTTACATCAGAGGTAATTTCCATATTTCACTGTTAATCAGCCCTGAATCCAGAAAGCAAAGGGGTGATATATTGGTCTGAAAGGGAACTGGCGGCCCATCTTGGCTTTCGCTGATGCTCTGTCAGTGTAGATATCAGTTATTATGACAGTTGGCTGCGCTCTTTGACAGCTTGTGTACTTAGAGAATAATAAGTCACAATAATTAAAAATTTGGAAATGGACTTTACACGTCACAAGCCGATCCACTACATAAACCTGATTACGCTACATAAAAATTAGATTGAAGGTGAGGTGGGGAGTGTTGGTGGGGGCAACCATACATCAACATTCATATACAGTAAAATTACTTTTGACTATTGGAGGGAAAATGAATCCTGTTCTCAAACTTCTTTCACACCATAGTGCTTGTAGAGTGTCAAAGATACATTAGTCTGCTTCAGTTCTAACTATACTATGATGTCTGTGCTGTCCATTAATCCCCCCATACTACTTTTGAAAAGTCATTTCTCCCACCCCTTACTTCCAGGAGTGGTGGCTGACCCAGCAGGTACCTGCCCAGTGAGAGGTGCAGGCGGGTCTTTGTGCAACCTCAGTCTGCTGATGCGGCCGCTGCCAAAATCAGCCTGACAGTGGGAGCCGAAAAGTCCAAGACAGGATCCAGAGGAAGGCCTGGGCCTGGATCGCTTTACACTGGCGATTATGTACTTTAGCAAGGGGTTCTCCTTCCAGGGGGGAATGCTCAATGTTACGGTTTTAGATACAGCATTTCCATGATTTATTTGAGCATTCACGGGAAGGAATTTGCTAAAAAGGATATTGCAGAAAAAAAATCCTTCTGCACTTACGTTTCCTAACTGAGAAAGTATTGCAGTCCTGACAGGAAAGAGAGTGAATGACTCTTCTTGTAGATGCTGTTGCATTCACAGCACTTTCATTTCACTGAGTGTCCCCTCTTTTTGACAGCCTTCAAAGGGGGACTAAGACCTTGATACATTCATTGACCGGTCAGGTTCTTCATTTTTTGTAGTTATTTTTTTGTTATCTCCTGTGCATCAATCACCTCAGACGGCAAGGATGTGGAACGATCTGAGACGGACGTTAAGATGACAGAGGAGGAAATGCCACAAGTAAGAAATAAGAGGACACGGACATGAGGAGGAGGATGGTGTCTAGGCAGGAATGAAGTTTACTGTCAGCACAGAACCTTTCCCCGTGGGACTCTGAAGGGAGGAACACAGGAAGCGGAGCCCTGGTGCAGGTCAGCGGCCTATTGACACGCCAGGACAAAGGCCTGGCCATGTGTGCACGTACAGTACCAGTTTGGAAAGATTTTTTTCCATACACATACAAACGTCTTCTCATTTTGATGTATGCAGCTTAATGATTGACTAGTCTAGCCTATATGTGTCACCGTTGGAGCACGTTGCATTAATCAACTGTGCTGTAAGCAGTTTATTTGCTTGAGGACCTTCACAAATGCAGACAGATTCAAACTTGGCCGCTTGCATGGTGCATGACAACGGAATGATAAATTGCTCTGAAACACATTAGCATGATGAGACCAACAAACAAGCAACATTCTTGAGGGGATCCATGAGCATGAATTATTCTGCAATTCCGTTTATTTACTTCCTTCGCTGAAGCCAAATCTTTTCCCCCTCAAATGTGGGGCTAATATTCTGCTTGTTCAGTTGAGGTTTCTCTCCTCAAGGTGCGAGGGTGTTTCCTACGGCAGCAGGTCTGGTTTAGTGTCATTGCATTTCCTTGCGTGTATATTCTTTTTAACTCGTGTGAGTATACATATGTGAAGGTGTGAAGCGAAAGCACCCCCTCACTGTTTATTTGCTCTGCCAGCCCACTTCCAGAACCCCGGCCTCAGGGGAAACATCAGATCTCTGGCCTAACAGAGGAAGCTTTGACTGGGAGCACATGAGGCCTGAACCACTTCCAGCAGAATACAAGTCGACAAGCACTCTTCCTCTGCGTTATGCCTCACTTCCACCCGTTGGCCCCGTCTTGCCGTCAGTCAACCCCGCCCTTCTCCTCCTCATCATCCACTCTCGTAAAACACCCTTTAACCTTGTGTATTCTTACACGAGCATAATCACGTTGGAAAAACGGAAAACAATCCCAGACACAAGTGGCCTTTGTTCTTGTTTGTGGTTGTGCTGTCACACACAAAACCTCAGACACCACAAACCACACCGTCAAGTCAACCTGATGATTGAGAATGATGCAGCTTCCCACCACCATATTGTGACGTTTGTTTCAGGGTTGTTCACGCATGACTTCCTGGGAACGCTAACCAGATTTCAGCAAGGCACAGGCAAATGATTCACTTTCACAGTTCATGGCGGTTTATCAAATTACGGCGGTTTGTCTGTCTAAACCTCTGACGGTCCGTAAGAGCTCTGTGTTTAAGGAAGTGGAACATTTTATGGTTAGTGTTGGTTAATTTCATGAAGGACAGACTGTGATTGTGACATTTAGCTAGTTGTGACCAGCTATTGTGACTGTAAATTTTAAATTGAGCAGAGATAGTTGTGTTTCTTAATTCTACCTGTACTTGTGCTGCAAGGATTATGTAAATAGAGAGGATAAAAGCTCACATATTGACGAATGTGTCTCGGGCCTGACAGAGCTCTCCTTGTGGTCTGTGACCCCTGTGACCCCATCCAGGCTCAGTGTCTCCCCAGGAATGCGGCGCTTATGACCTCCTAAGCTGCTGTTCCCTTAAATACATGATCTACACAGTCAACCACTTCTAAGATCTGGAAGCTTGGCATCCTACCTGACAGAAAAGAGCGTTTGGATGGATAAAAGACAGGGGAAGACAGGCTGTGTTTACTGCTTTGTTTCTATGGGAGCACTTTAGGGCAAATGCTTAAAATGCTGTCAAACATAAAAGGAAACTCAGGCCATTACTTTAAAAACTTTGACAAAGTCAATCGATCAAAGTCAGAGCAGAGAGCACACACACCTGTTAATGCATGTGGACTGATCAGTGCTGAATTTACAAAATGGCTTATCTTGGCTCTTTTACAGATTGCATTTTACATCTACAAAAGCTTTGATGATGGGTTTTGATTTACTCATCGGCCCACTAACCCCAGATGTTACTGCCTCCTGCCCATGTTGTATAAGTATTTGGAGAGCCACAAGAAATATTGCAAAACTCCCTTTTGCTTGAACAATGTGTTTCTATCATCATCCGCTGCATCATTTCTGGCTTAACATGCTGGCATGAATAAGTAAATGAAAACCCAGCTGGGATGTAAGCTACAGAGAGAAAAGTTGTCAAAAGTCACACATATTTTTATTTGGATATTGGGTGGATTCTGTCTTTCCCTTTTTTTTTTTCAAATTAATGACGGGAAAACACTTCCAACGACACGTCAGTCAAAGAGGCGGGTATTCAGGGACCAAACTGTGAGCTAAGGGTGAATAATAACAACCAAGCAGTGAGGTCAAGCTAATGACAGATCCTTTATAATGATGTGCAACATTAAGTTTTCATGCCAGACAGGAAAGCAATTTTTAAAGAGTACTTCCTGCAGAAAAAAGTGAAAAAAAGAAAATTGAACTGTTATTTAAAGTAAAGGAATGATAACACCAAGAAAGTCCTCCAAATATTCTAAATGGCCTCACAACCGTGTTGATGTTACACAATCCTGGAGGCACAGCAAGATTTATAGCCGTTTTTAGCTCCAACTCCCAAGCTGTTAAACTTCAAACCTTGTGTGTTCTCAGATTTCAGATTTTGCTGCATGAAACAGAACCTCGTTTGTGCAGACATAAGCACCCAGATGCATTTGTCAGCTTCAAACAATGGTGCAACAGCTCTTTGGTTGCAGTCTGTTGTCAATCAGCTGGGTGATTTGTTTTGTCAAGGTACTGACAGTGACAACCTGGGGGAAAAAAAGAGCTCACAAAGAGCTAATCTAGAGCAGATTGTCTGCAAAACAACAGGCATTGTAGTCATCCAGAGGGCTGCTCAGGTGCACGGTAATCAGAAAAAGATGGAGGGTGATGGCTGGAGTTTGCGGGGAGGTCTGACTCTGGTCTGAAGTTCCATGAAGACAATTATACCACCATTAAACACAGGAAGCCAACCTAAAGGGCCTTGTAAAAAAGTCTCCTCTGAGAAAATGCTTCTCTATGTAACAAAGGGAGAAAGTTTTGAAAGTCATCTAACTTTTCTGAGAGAATCTTGAGTCGGCTCCAAGTGTAAGAAAAAAATGAACAGGTTAACATTCCCACAGCTTGAAATTTGTTGATCGGCATCCAAAGTACACGGAGAGAAAACGCAAAAGGGAGAGAGAGGAGTGACAGTTTGAATGGGATGCCCCTGTGGAATGTAAACAATCTGAAAGTGTATCACATTCAGTACACTATTGGTTTCCTCCTGAGGAGAGCAGAGGTCTCCTGACGCAGGGAGGTAAAGCAGTGAGAACTAAACGCCGAGCTGTCAGTGCCTCTCTAAAATTCTCTCGGGTTGATTAACAGTAGGCTGCTGGTAGAAGGAATTCAATCACCAGAACACACACTAGTATATCTTATATATAAAAAGCATATGAGCACACATGTGTTTACAGTTGATCAAATTTGTCGCACTCAATGCAACCAGACATCCGCAAACTCTGGATTTATCCTTGTGTACGCACTTCTGCAAGCATACAGAATGATCTCATTTTTGTGCACCTGTGCACGCACCAAAAAAAAAAAAAAGAAAAGGCAAGAGTACATCCGCACATAAAAATATCAAACCTCGGCTATATACAGTCCAGGCTTCCACAAAGTAGAACAGTGCAACCATGGACACATGGGCGAAAAGGAAGTACACTCTTTGATGTGTGCTCCTCAGCTTTACACATCAGAGCATTAAAAAAAACATCTGGTCCTCACCAGGTTTTAAAATGAAGCAAATACAAAAAACATTGATTGGGCAACAGCTCATGAAATGTTCCACAGTTGTTACAAGCTAAACACAGTGGAAATGCTCAAGCTGTGTCCAAACAACTTGCAGTCCATCGTTGTACAGAGAGAGAGATAGTTCGTGAGATATAGTTATCGGAAACAACTTGACAAATTCGCTAAAGATTCAGCACCAAAAACAGGAAAAAAACAAACAAAAAAAACACAAGGAACAGCCCTCAGACTCTTTGGGCTTTATTCACCACAGGGTGTGATGATTAAATAGGACAACACAAAAAAAAGACTGAAAAAGGAGAAAAAAGCAACACAGCAAAGGGATGTAGGTGTGACTTCTGAAACGGTTGTCCTCTGGCCAGACAAAAACAAGGGGACATAAGCCAAACACAGCATGATACTTCAGGCTGAATACGAGCTCAGTAGCGGAGCGATCCTAATCTGGACGCAGGACTACAGTACCTTACAGCCACTGAGACAACCACAACTCACTCCTTAGTGCAAAGCATTCTACCGTCAGATGTGGAGCTTTGCGTTTCACCTGTTCAACAAGTAAATCTTGGTTGAAAATGTATTCGGAGAAAAGACAGTGGAAACACTACACCGTTTCTTCATTTTGGCTCAGTTTTTCTTCAGCAGATGAGGGCCTTGTCATATGTTCACGTTTATATGAGGTCGTATTAATCTCATTTCA